TTGACACTCAAGGTAAAAAGCATAGCAATTAACTGCGGCCTGGAGAAAAACAACCCATTTTGAAAGGTGCTGGAGAGCTGTTCTATTTATAATTCTCCTTCTCTTCCTTCCTTTAAAAATACTGCACCTGTTACTCCATTGATCAGTTAGGAAAATTCTCAAGGGAAGAAGTTAAACCACCTGCTTAATAAAATTACCTCTTGTGTGTGAAGCGTTCCATCCCTAGGTGATCCCTAGGCAAGGAAAGTCACTATACACCCTGCACTTTCATTTTGTAGTTGAACAGGAAACAAATGACCCAGGACTGCTTGCTTGGTGCACTGTGTTTTTCTTTTTACATCTGTTTTCCTTGCTTTTGTGTCATGCCTCTGTTTAGTTTTATTGACAAAACAATCTGTGCCTAATGTTTAAACAACGTCTATAAAACGTATTATTAAGTTATGTTGGAAGGAAAAGCAGAGCAATTCTATGAAACCCCATGACCCCCTATTGATTTTTAGATCTCAGAAGTTGAAAGGATAATTTGTGAATGTTTTAACATTTACATCTGCACAGGTACTTATATTTATAGAATCTTTGATTACTTATAAAAGTATTTGCTACATTATTACCATAACTCAGAAAGAAACCTGACCTTTTACAGTTGAATCTGTTTATTATAACAAGGGTGATTTTTTTTTTTTTTTTAAATAAGTTTACATTTTTACCTGCCAGGGGCAGAAATCTCCAAGGATGACATACTTTTCCCCCCCGACTGGTAATAAATGGGAAGTGATGGCTGAATGCTCTGTAGTTTTGAAGGCAATAAATGAAGAAACTAGGAAAACCTGGTATATGTACTAAATCTGAGAACTTTAAGAGCTATGATGGTTCTGTAAAGTGTCATCGCGGAGGTTCGGATGCACCCTGGAATTTTATGCACCCTATCGATGGGGAGTGACTTTTCTGTCTACATACATACTGTATTTCACATAAACTATGTATTTTGCACCTAAGACCCACTGCCTTCTCAGAGAGGGTAAAGAAGTAATCATGGAACATTAGGCCTTAATGGGAAAGTGTATGGATGAGAAGGGGTAAACAAAGAAACTAACATTTATTCAATACACCCTAGGCTAGACCTCTGCTGAGGCAGGATGTGTCTGAGGCATCCAGCAAGAAAGATACAATGCAGGCACAAGTTTTCATCACATGGAATTCCCAAGTCTGCAACATGGCTGTGAAAACATATAAGGGAGTTTTATCTGACCATTCTACACTCATATTTTCAATATAAAAGAATAAAGTTGGTGTATTCGGGAGAGAAAAGAACCCAGTATTGACTTTGTGTGTGTGTGTGTGTGTGTGTGTGTGTGTGTGTGTGTGTGTGTGAGTGCCCTCTTTCTTCAAAGTTCTACCTACATATGAAAAGACCCACCTAACCATCTATCTTAAAATTTAAGAAGTTTCCACTTAAATGACATTCAACATATCAGTAATATTTTTGCACTGATGTAACAGAAGTATTTATCACAACCACAACAACAATGCAAACACAAAAAGACAAAAGCACCAAATGCTATTATTTATCACTTTTGGCTCAAATCATAATTGGGAGTGAGGGAAGAAAGGAAGAATAATACATACATTTATGGCACATATTGTATTTCAAAAATTATTATGCTTTAAGTCAAAGTCCACCATGGCACGCTAGACTGAAATATTTAGGCAATTAGTTATGGAGGTTGATTTCGAAAAACATGCAGTTACCTCAGATACTTGGATCATTTAGGTAAAATTTTTTTTACCCAAATTATTTGCCTAATTGCCTCAATTCTCAAAAAATGTGTTGGCATAGACTTGTCCTACGATGTCTAATCTAATAAATGTCACATTCCATCCCAGAACCCAATTCCTACAAGTACTAATACCAACCATTTTAAGAATACTCCTCTGTTTTTCTGACAAGTACACCAAATATGAGTTAGAGCAGTTATTTCTTTTAATCCAAGTTTTCTCTTAATTAATCAAATCTGTCTTGTTGTTTTACATTTAAATTCTCCCTGTGATCCCCTCTCCCCGCCAAATCCCATCTGCTTTGTCCTTAGTCAGCCAAGGCAAGTAGTATATATTACTTACGTCAATTAAAGACGCATAAAATTAGTTCAGCGCTGGAATGAAAGAATGTTACAACGCACCAAACTTTTCTCATTTTTCTGTCAAAACCTAACTTCAAGCTGCATCGGCCAGGGTTTCTATGACAAGCTAACAACTGACATGAGTTTATATTTTTCACTCTCATATTGTGTATTTCAATACATTATGTTACTGCCAGTAATATGAGTGATCTACACCCAACCCACCCTTCAGCATTTATTAAATCTCTTCAACAGTGACTCATAGTTCATACAAAATGTACATGTGTGTTAACAAGTCTTTAAAAAGCCAAAAAGGAAGAAACACATTTTAAATGTTGTGTCTAAATGAAGTGAAGGGGAAATGCTAAAATACTCATGAAGTGTTTTTGTTGTTGTTGTTTTTTTAAATTATTATTTCCAGAATGAAGTAACTTGCGCTTGATGCTCAATACAGGAAAAATATTTACAGGCTGTCAAAAAGACCCTGTGTAATGTTTTTATTACAATAAAGAAAAATGAAAACCACTTGGTAGTTGTGCTTTTTATCTTCAAGTCGGCCATCTTTAAGATTCGCTCACATCTTGGGTTTCAATACAGTACCGTCTGGGTTTCCCCATTTTTCCACCATATTTCCAACTCAAAGCCCAAAGAAAAAGAAATCTACTATCAGCTCCTTAAAAGGTGAAGGTCTGGATGAAAATTAATATACCGTTAAAAACTCAAATCAAATGTGGGAATGTCATTATTCACCGAATTTAAGAGAAACAATTTCTATTACAACTTTTAGTTACTGGAGGGTAACTCTCTACCACAAATAAATTTGTTGCAGAGTTGAAACAGTTGCCAAATGCTCAGCAATGAAGTGCAAGCATAGGTCACTTCTAATTCCATACACAGAAGCGAGAGCACATGAACACTACACGGTGCCAGATGAGCACAGAATTGGGTTTACATCCCACCTAATAAGTAAAAGTGATTTTCAAGTTACATGCCTGTGCAGAATTGAGTATCAGTGTGAAGTTTAGGGCAAAGTCTGCATCTATGTTGAAAAATTATTATCTGGCGTGTATTTTTTTTAAGTCCTTCCCCCCCCCCCCCCCGCCC